GGGTCTGTCAAAACAGATGGGTCAACTTTACGATTTAGGTTGCTTTAACATCTAATTTGCACTTGTGAGATTTGCTAAAGGACATTTTTGCAATGTAAAAGTTTTTTGGTTTTTTTTGCTGGTTTTTGTTTTGAAAAAGAACCCCCATCTTGGGTTTCCCTCCCCTTGTAAACCACCCCTCACCTTGCAAACATGGTGATCAGGAAACTGTGAGTGCAAACAGCATGAATGTGTGCATTTAATCACATAAATTCTTGTGCTGTTTCTAATGATCACAAATTCTGTTCTAGAATTCAAACAAGGATGGAGTACAAGAATGAAAATGCTGGAATAGAACTGCTTCTTGCTCACATGAATATTGAAGACTTCATCCAAGAGGCAGAACATTTCTACTGTGTTGACGAGGAGGTGGAATCAGGAGTCTCATTTGACGAAATTTTCTTGCAAGAAGACATGGACGAGAATGAGGAAACGCCACACGATCTAATCACACATGCGCAAAACCCCGGAAAGGTCCGTTATGGGACAGCATCTGACCTCCTGGACTTTGTCAATATGGTCTCAAACATACCATCTCCTTCTCTCCTCGAAGTGGGTCAAGAAATGGGTGTCCTGCTAAACAAGGTAAGCTCTATTGATGGTTATTTACCATATATCCATAACATATACAGATGATCTATTTTCAGCATTAAGTAAGTGGATGTATTTAAAACATATTTACACTTGAAGGGATAGTGACAACGATGATGAAATTTCTGTCATCATTTACTCACCCTCAAGTTGTTCCAAACCTGTGGTAACCAAACAGTTGATGGGATCCTATTGACTTCCAGAGTATTTTTTCCCCTCCATACCATGGAAGTCAATGGGGCTGATCAACTGTCTGGTATTCATAAACCAATTAATATAAACCAAGCTTATTGTAAATACTTTGAGTAAAGGAGTTATACTTGTTTTACAGTTTGTCATAGCCTTGCTCTCATAAACGCCCTGCTTTGTTCCTGCAGACAGACATGGTCATTAAGGAGGGTCATTATCGCATAGATTTGGACGTTCTTCTGTTTCCGTGGAAACTGACCTACAAGCCCCTAGGTCCTGGACATGTTCCCAAAGGCTCATTTGGGAAGGTCCATCTGGCCCAGGACACCAAAACTCGGAAGCGAATGGCATGCAAACTAGTAAGTTCAGGAATGCAGAAAATATTTGTTTCAGGAACTCTTTCTTTTTTCCTTCTTCTGTCATTCCACTGTTAATGGACATAACTTCCCTTCCTGGAATCTGTGTTCTTTTATGACTAAAGCAAAAACAAATTTTGTACTGCTTGTTCAAAATAATTTGTTGAAAACAATTTAATAAGCACAACATAAGGATTTCAAACATTAAGTAGTGAAGTAAACATACAATTTTCATATGGAAATAAAACATCAATGACACTATACTGTAAATATAACACTGATTCTTTATAGTGATTGATGTGTTCTTGTGACAATCTTAAGCACCAGGATTTATGAACAATGGAAAAAAATGACTCTGAAAAGAGAAGCACTTGTAGAACTCGTATTCAAATGAGGAAGAGATCATTTGGGAAATAACGCAGTTTCTCTAAAATGTTCAGGAGGTCAGTCTACAGTGTGCAGTGTTTGAACAGAAACTGAGAATGGCTCTAACGTACACAGGAAGCTAACAGGAACGCCCCCGTGGAAACATGCAGCCCACAGAGACGGTGTCTAAACTGTGTGGCAGTGTGTAGATGTCTAGTGGAAGAACAAGTTTCATACTTGTGGTCAATATAAAGTCGGTACGAAATGGAAGTTGCCATAGTCTATGCTTTCCTATAGTAACGCATATCCAGGTGAAACGGCTTCTCAAACAAGAAACAAAATAGGACGGGGCATGCTTTAGTCCATTTTGCTATTGCTGCCGTCTCATGTGAGTGAGAGAAGAGAAGAGGTCGTTGCAAGAGGGAGGGGAAGTTATTTGGATTATGACTTGACGTGAAAATAATGATGTGTCATGAAATAATGATTGTCAATTGCTGAATCAAAAACATTCATCCCCGTAGCCCTCAATCGGGTCATGGGGTCTAAACGACCCCAATCGAATTTTACTCCCTTCATCTCAGTGGAATAAGATTTTGTGACTTTTCATACATTATCTATCTATACACACAACAAAACTGGGCTTGAATCGGTTGTTCTGAAGGTATTTAAAAAAATTTTTTTACACTTCTGGTCTTCGAGTTCAATATGACCCCACATTGAAATGAATGGGAAATGTGAAAAAAACAAATACAAAATCCGCCATAAATCTGAACATGTTTACACAGAAATGAAGGCCTAGTACTAGACCATAAATGCAATGTATCATAAAAAATAACATTTCATATGCTAATGCTAAAGCTAATGGTGTAGTTGAGGAATTGTGTGGTAAATGGATACAAAAGTACTTTATATCTCCAAAAACACAGCATTAATGAATAGATGAGAAGTAAACAAAAATAATGATATATTATTTGTATGATTAAAAATGTATATTTTTTGTACACTTACTCAATCAATTGTTGGGGTCATATAGACCCCGAAGCCCAGAAGTGTAAACAGGAAACGAAGACCATTTGAAGGTTAATGTGGCTTTTAGGGTTTTGATCAAATAATTATTTATCAATTAGTGGTCAAGGCAGCCGATGTCTGGAACAATTATGCAATATCACACTGCACATATTTATATTTTATGAAATTCTTTGCATATATGAAATCTTAAATCTTTCTATGCATTTAGCCTAAGTATAATAAGCAAGTAATGGTAATTGTATATTACCAAATGTCTGAAATGTATAAGTTAAGTGTACATTCTCTCCAGATTCCTATGGAACATTTCAAGCCTGCAGATGTGGAAATCCAAGCCCGGTTCCGACACGAGAACATAGCAGAGCTGTATGGGGCATTGCTGTGGGAGCAGACGGTGCATTTGTTCATGGAAGCGGGCGAAGGGGGCTCGGTTCTGGAGAAGCTGGAAAGCTGTGGTCCAATGAGGGAGTTCGAGATCATCTGGGTCTCTCAGCAGGTTCTGCGAGGCCTGGAGTACCTGCACTCGCACAACATTATACACCACGACATCAAACGTAAGAGCTTTGGATTGCATCATAATGGATTGTTTTTCTGAAATATCACTGCCGTTTCCTACTAAAACACATTGTGTTTGACCATGTTGGATCAGCTACTTTGAATTGAAACAGTGCAAAACATACTTCAAAAGCAGGGTCAAGTGCAGTTCACTTCATTTTTTTATTGCAACCACACGCAACAAAACAAACACTGTTATTTCCCTCCCGAATGTAACAAAGGATGCTCTGTAAGTAAGTCAGATAATGACTATGTGGTCACAAGAAAGGTATTCAGCTTATTTGACAGAACTGAAAACTAGGCCACTGGGAGGAAGCAGCAGTGTTAATTGATTGACAGAGGACTGGCCACAGGCTAGAGAAGTTCATTTTTAGTGTTTTTAGATCGCACCTTTCAAAGGTGAGGAAAACAACATACTGAAATATGGTAGGGTTGCGGCAGACAACATTCTGCTGCTGTTTAGTCATATGCAGAAGCCTATCAGTGCTGCAGCTCATGACTTCTCAGGCGTCTGGAATTTCCAGTCAGGACAGCGAGAGGAGGGAGAAGACAGATGTGATTACTCATGTATTACTTTCCGGGGCTTATTCAACAGGCCATCCGTCTAACTAGTGCTTTCAAATTTCAACAAGACTGTGAGGGTAATGTGAAGAGAGAGAAATTCAGTGAAATGAGTGACCAACCTCAGTTTCCTGCTTTGTGGTTCTGATGGTTGGCTTCTTGGCTTCAGAAAACATTTTATTTGAAGTAGTGTCAAATATGGAGGGAGCGCAAGAAAAGGGGGTTTTGAGACTTCCGATGATCTTTTTTTCAATCCACCATGAGTAATGAATGATAATGAATGAGTAATGAATCTGCTTCTGGAAAACAACACCTTGTCTGGTGCTGCACACACATGAACTGAATAACCTAAATGTTGCAAAAACTATGGAGATATAGTTGCAATGTCTTATATAGCATATGAAATATAAGTTTTAGATTTGATGTGTCTATACGACATGAACTAAATTCTCTTTTTGTCCCTGCAGCCAGTAATATTGTGTTGATGTCCGCCAAAGCCGTGCTGGTGGATTTTGGTCTTACAGTACAGATGAAGGATGATGTATATGTTCCTCGGGACCTACGTGGCACCGAGGTGAGTGTGTTTGAGATCACTTTGCACACTTTAATTTTTCCATACTTGGTCTGTCACTGTGTCGTGACTAAATGCTAGTCTATAATTAGAAACCATGCAGTATTTGGCAGTTCCTGATTGTGCTGGTGGCAGACGTCCTTTAGAATGTCACTGAATAAATGTTGTCTTATGCTATGTACATTTATAAAGTTAAAGGGATAGTTCACTTTGAAATTAATTGTTGATATGTTTTAGCTTACCTCAAGGGCATCCAAGATGCATGCCTGTCTTTGTTTCCGCAGTATTTTCCATTTTGATATTTTTCGGTCAAACCGTTGTTGTCTGTCAGTCATATAATGAGGTTTAGGGGGTCCACCCTGGGTTCACCTTAAAGAGCATGCACAGAGAAGTCAAAGTTAAATATGATTTAATGACTCGTAAATGTAAGTACACTTCTCTGTGCATGCTCTTCGAGGTGGACCAAGGGTGGAGCCCCTAAACCTCCATTATATGACTGATTGACAACAACGGTTTGACCAAAAAATATCAAAATTGAAAATACTGTGGAAACAAAGACACCTACATCTTGGATGCCCTTGAGGTAAGCTAAAACATATCAAAAAATAATTTCAAAGTGAACTATCCCTTTAAAGGTACATAGTTAAAGGGCAATTCTGACAGACTGAAAGGAGATCTGAAACACTAGAAGGCACACACACACATAGATGCACTTTTTTTCCCTCTTGGCTGACATTATGTTCCCTAACAAACTCTGGGAAAGGCCCAAAAAGGCACACACAAATGCCCATTAGCACACTGAGGCTTGTTGACTTTTTGCCCCATTTGGAAAGTCCAGCATGCCTTGTTAAACAGCACTGAAGATTCCCAACATAGAATAATAAAGTTGTTTACTACGAGGCAGTACCATGAGCAGTTTGCCAGATGTCACATTTGCCTATTACATCACAAGTTGTTTTTCATATTTATATTATTCAGAGTGACTGAACTGTAGAAAACAGCCAGTCCATTCCAGTGTTCAAAGTTGCATTACAAAAAGAAGAAAACCTGCTGTGAATCTTAAAAGCCTCTGCACATGTGGGATCTGTGCTCATTTTAGTCATATTTCTTGTTTTTCCTTCTGTACAGATGTACATGAGTCCAGAACTGGTTCTGTGTCGAGGACACAGCACAAAGACGGACATCTACAGCCTGGGAACCACAATCATACACATGCTGAGTGGCAGTCCTCCATGGGTTAGGAGATATCCCCGAACAGCCTACCCCTCATACCTTTACATTGTGAGTGTGCTTTGTCGATTTGATCATGGTGAATCCGAATGCCTGCTCTTTTAATTATATTATGTTTGTATTTATTTTACTGCACCAATACTAGGGAGAGTCCCTGAACGTAGCAAAACCTCACCATATGAAAAACCAAATATATGCATTAACCACAGAGCATAACCCAGAAATGCCAAGCAGGCTGATGTCATAACTTCATGACATTAAGCCTCTGTTAGCATTTAGCAAAGCATATATCATGCTAGTTTTATTTATTTAGTCTTTTTATTATTTTCTTTTATAATTTTTTTTTCAGCATTTAAACCACTGTAAAGGATACTAATTAGGTATTAATTTAATAATAATGATAATTCGGAATATAATTTAAAGTATTTTTCTTATTTTTTTATTATTATTATCTGTTCGTTTTCTGTTTCTATTTATTTATAATATATATGTATTATTTATATTTATTTATTTTATTATTAGCAAAGCAGAATCAGCAGATGCTAATTATTTAATTATAATAATTCTTTAAACATTTTATTTCCTGTCTTTTTTCTTTATTCGCTTTTATTTCCTTTTCTTCATTTGTGTTTCTGTTTTAACCAGTATAAAGCAAAGGAGCACAAGATATAACATGTGATGGCAAGTTCTTCTTTCCATTGCAAACAATTTCTAAATAACTCTTTTATTTAAAAAAAAAAAAAAAATCTGCTGTTTATCAGCTGTTAAAGCTTCCTCTACGCTCTGCAGATTATTTTGAAATCGGCAGTTTTGCATATTTCACTTTAAGAGCTGCTCATAATGGAAGAAGACTAAAAGCTGGCAACCTTTGTATAGCAAGTCCAACTGCTTTCAGTTCCCTTTTCACATACTACACTTCCTTTTCATGTAACTGAATGTAAATTCATGCACAGTGTATTTTTGCTTGAGGCACCTGTGCCACCAATAATTTTCACCTATAGTGGCTGGGTAAGATCCAGGCTGAATCGGAAATCACCCTCAAATGGTGTGTTATTACCACTACAGCCATTTGTAGTGGTGTCCGAAACCATGGTGGACGATTGAGTGCACTTATTCAATCCCAAAATGCAATAACGACTGTATTCCGAATTCACTCACTCGTTTTCATTCACTCCTTCAAGTGAACAGTATTAGTAGAATAACATAGGGAATAGTGTATGAGGGTTTAAAACTGCATCTAACATCCAACTCTGACCATGTGTGGAACACACACACACACACACACACACACACACACACACACACACACACACACACACACACACACACACACACACACACACACACACACACACACACACACACACACACACACACACATATATATATATATATATATATATAGTAGACTATTAGTTTTAGTGATTTTTGTTATGATAATAACATTGCATACACAAGTATCTCCCACAATTGTGTTAATTGTTAAATTAATAGAAATCAGTGGTTGATTGTCATAGATGTAGGCTTAGGGTATTTACACAAAACGTGTTTTTGCTTATCACTGCGCTGCTTTACTATTGTTTTTCACTAAAAACACGCAGAAGGCGGATACAGTGTGTTTGACCACTGAGTTTGTGTCATGTAACTTTTGCACTATTTTGCACATGCTTTTGCTCTATTTTTGCACACAGCGTTCTAAAATCACGGTGCTCAAGTTAAAGCTTTTGTCCGTAACTTTTGGCACTCTAGCGGTTAATAAACAGAACTGCGGAAGAACATCGTAGCTGGAGCTGCTTCTCTCTGTTTATGTCTATGACGAGTCACACACGTACGGGGCTATTCTGCACCAAAATAGTCTGAATAAAACACGTATTATAAAACATTTATTACCGGAGTGATTCAGGATAAGACAAAAACACAGTTTGGAAAATGGATACATGATGTACTCACTTGTTATATAAATGTTGTAAATTTTGAAGAAAAAAAAAGGAGGCATCTTTGGGCTTGTTATTTTCCATATGTTAAATCTATGTTTTCCAGCTTAGTTTTGATGGTGTGTTCTCTATGTGGCCTTTGTGCCAGTGTCATAGTTCTTTGAGTGGAGAGAAGTCAGCTGTTTATGCAGTCAAACAGGGGTGGCCAAGCTTCTATCACTATCAGGGGTGGCACTTCTCCCCTGATTTTCACACTCTGTTTGCAGATCCACAAACAGGCCCCTCCTCTAGAGGACATCCCTGAAAGCTGTAGCCCCGCGATGCGCAGGCTCCTGGAGCACGCGCTCGATAGGGTCCCCGGACGGAGGAGCTCTGCCTCGGAATTACTGAACGAGGAGGCCCTCCATCCGTCTCGGGAAGACCAGCCGCGCTGTTGGAGTCTGGACTCTGCGCTGGAGGAGGGCACACATCCCATGCTGCGACAGCACAGTCAGCTTTCAGACAGCACTCAAGGTACATCACACAACACGCATACAGTATTTCATGTCAAATTCATTTGATCATATATTTAATATCTTTTACTTTTGCATTTGTAGATTCTTCTTTGTACACTGAGGACTCTGGGCACTCTAAGAAGAGAGGTTCCCTCTATATGGATCTGGGCGCCTTGGCTGGTTACTACAATCTGGTTAGAGGGCCACCATCCAATGAATATGGCTAATGAGGTGGATTTTTCCTGAGGACCAGTGTACTTGTATAGTCTGCATTCATATACAAGCTGTGGGATACGCATGGATGTATCAGTTCAGTGGAGCTAAACTCCATTCCACATATATGGTGTCCTAAATGAGGACACTCAGTGTACGCTAATTGGACAATGAGCTGTCCAATTAGAGATGGATGCTTTTTGAAATGCAAGAGACATTCATGACTTGCTGAAGAGAAGAAAGAACTGTGTTTTTGTTGAACGGTTTGTTAATACAGTTCCTTGTCTGTGCTTTTAGAGCATGAGTGATAATGACACCATATTCTGTTTAAAATACATTCTAGGATGGATGCACCAATATTACAATTCTGGCCAATACAGATAAACGGATAATTACTTCTAATTTATGGCTGATAACAACTTAATGAACAATAAATGAAACAATATATACACTATTTAGTAAATACAATTGATGGATGCATCACAACATTTTAATGTACAGTATAAAAATGCATCTGATATTGGCTGATAAACAATATTGGTGTTGATATATTGTGCATCCCCTAAAATGGACAAATACTTTTTGCTTTATATATATATACCAGTATATACTGTAATTTTGAAGCTTGTGCTAGATGCATTGATTATGTATTCCATATCTGATCACATAAGGGCGGGCCTTTATGAGAGTAAAGACGAGTTTATACTAGATTGTCACTGCCAACAGCAGAATGTTTTTTAATAATATAATGATTTCTGACCATAGCAGTGCTATGTATGTTAAGAATGTATGTATCTCCAGTGAATTACAAAGGCAGACCTGTGTTATCTGACCTACATTTATAGGGTTTCTTTTTGTGAAATATTAATATTAAAGTGGTGAGTCTGCTGAATTTGAATATATAACATAGTCTGTCTGTGTCTTTAGCTAATCATTTCAGTAAATAATTTCTGTTTAATCCCCACGTGAGTGCCTTGTCTTTAAATAGCTTTATCTGAGATCCCTGGATAATACATCCATTGTAAAAAATAAGAGATGGCAAAAAAGGACACTACAACAATACAGTTTATATTTCCAGGAATTGTTTTCAGATGATACTGAAAACTCATCTCAGGTTGATATTCCCATGGAATGTGTTTTTTGTTAAGTAGTTGCAATGCAAGACAAAGAAATGTGCACTCAGACAAAAATGTAATAGATTGTCCAGATCCTCCCAAAATAATGTCTCAATCATAAATGTCTCAATGTGTTCATAAAAGTGACTCAATAAATATATGATCTGACACTGCAATTTTGTTGTCAAAGCATCTTAATGATTTTTATTATATATATATATATATATATATATATATAATTTTTATATAATAAATAATAATAATATTATATTATAATATTATCATATAATAATATATATTTATATATATATAAAATACACACACACACACACACACATATATATATATAAATATATATATATATATATATATATATATATATATATATATATATATATATATATTATATATATATATATATATATATATATAATAAACCTACATATTGAAATATATTGATGATGGAAATTTTCAGGTTGTGATTTTAGATAAGGTAAAATTACATTATAGCTGTTTCAAGCAATAAACAGTTCTTCAGAAGTTTCTTAGTCATTTTGGAAAGACCTGAGAGTCTGTGATAAATGATAGTATCACCTAAGACGAAGACTGATGTATGCTTTTACTTTGGGGAAGTTATTAAATAAATAAATGGACTAAAATGTGTGATTCATCACTGTGCTTAGAAAGGTATTATAGTGAGAAACTGTGTTGATCTACACCACGTTTGTAAAGCTAAAAGTGTAAAATAAACATTTTGATTGCTGATAATGATAAGATATGTCATTTAGTGGTTAAGTTCAAACACTTTTTGGGTGACTGAGAATTTTGTGTGCAGAAAGGTCACAAAATAATCTAAACTCAATGACTTTCAGGATGGAAAACAAAGTTGTTCTGGGGTTTGAGGGGGTTTCTGGTCAAAATAAGCATTTGAAAAGCATTTTTTTTTTTTTTTTTGCAGACGGTACATTGAAATTCTTGCACACCCCATCCCATGAAGCACTGCAAATGATGCAATCGAATCAGAATTTATGATTCTAAATACAACTATTAACTTTATTACATCTGTATTTCAATATAATACCAATATAATATAATTTTCAAATTTCAAAATTCAAATTTCAATATAATATAATTTTTTTTTTTTGCAGTTTCCTGAAAATGGCTAAAGAATCAGCAGCTCGGGCTGAATTAGGCGGGTCATTTCACCAGCAGGGAACAGTCAAGGTAAAGGTCTGTGAAAGTGATTTTATGACACTTTTTTCTCATATTATTTGAGATGCATTGCTTCATGTGAGCGAGTAACTAAGTTTCAATATAAACGAAATCACACTTCACTATAAGTAACACAATCACACACACGTGCATATTTCCACGCAGCAACACTGAAATGAAATGTGTGTTTTTGATCATGTGTCATATTCTGCGAAAGAGAAACAGAGAACAACACGGCCAGCAGAGCTCAAGTGAGGAAGTGGATTTCCCCCTGCTGATAGGTTTCTGGCAGTGAAGTAGAAGGTGGAGTGGGTGAGAAAGAGTGTATTCCCTGACCTTTACAATGCACATTCTGAGACATTAGACCATTAGGGGACAAGAATTTCTACAACGATGTGTCATTGCAACAATCACTTCCTGCACCTACGTGCCTGCCGCCCACTTGCACGCATTTGCTTGTTTGCTTGTTTTATATCATAGTGGGGGATATTTAATTGATTTTTATTGTTTTATACAAGACAGGTGATATTTCCTGCCCCCATACCCTAAGCCTCAGAGACCTTTTTGTATTTTAGATTTAGGCTACATTAAGGTATTATTCAAAGCCTATAATATTTGATAAGCACATTTTTAGGGCCACTAAATTGTCAACGTAATCAAAACTTTGCTTGAAAACCTGTTACTATGCTTTCTGTCATCTAAATGATAGTTTATAGACTACTTTTTAACTAGTAAAAGGCCTTTTAGTGTAGTCTAAAAAAGTATGTTGTGTCTTTTTGCTGTGGAATTTATACTGTAAGTTATACCATCTTGCAGTTGATGGAGATTTGTGGGATGCACATCCAGGGCACGAAGCTCCCGTTCCACCACATCCCAAAGATGCTCTATTGTGTTGAGATCTGGTGAATTTGGGGGCCATTTTAGTACAGCGAACTCAAGAACAAGAAGTGTCATGTTCAAGAAACCAATTTGAAATGATTCGAGCTTTGTGACATGGTGCATTATCCTGCTGGAAGTAGCCATCAGAGGATGGACATGGAGGCCAAAGGGATGGACATGGTCAGAAACAATGCTCAGGTAGGCCGTGATTTTTAAACAATGCCCAATTAGCACTATGGGGCTTAAAGTGTGCCAAGAAAACATCCCCCACACCATTACACCACCACCGCCAGCCTGCACAGTGGTAACAAGGCATAATGGATCCATGTTCTCATTCTGTTTACGCCACATTCTGACTCTACCACCTGAATGTCTCAACAGAAATCGAGACATAATTAAATAATGAAAAAAAGACTTCAAGGAGTAATCAATGATGTTAAAACTTTCAGAAATTTGGCAGAGTAGATGCTGCGGATATTTGGTTGTCGGTAGTACACTAAAACATGCAGGGATCAATAAAAGATACTGAATATGCGGGTTCTAAATAAAGCGCCACCTTGTGGACAGTTTTCGTATAAGTAAAGAGATCGTCAACCTATGTATAGTATCATGTGAGTTATTAGCTGACAATTTTCGTTTTTTGTCCATTTATATTCTATGATGTCATCAGCAGTTAGGCATATTTAAATAATATGGTAAGAAATGGAAAAATATGTAAACTGCAGAGATAGACGTATCCAATTGCAACAGTGGACTTTTGTAAAACAAATTTGTAAAACAAAAAATAATTTGTTTTAGGTTTAAAGCCTCTGAATATGATTCTGCAAGTCTTGTGAAGTGATAGGTAATTCATTATTTTCAGGCAAGCATTTAGTATTAACAATTAAAGATTATATCTGTTTATTTATATTGTTGTAATAAACAGCAGCAATTAAATGAAATTATAATGGTGGCACATAGAACCCTCTTTCTTCCCCAAAACACTGCGCATTTTAAATGTCTTTCTTACCTGTTAAAACCATTTCAGCTAACTGTCTCTAACTGTCTATATGGGAACCACTGATGTAAAACTTAGACAAACTCAAAATAATTACAGCGTATGTCCAGAAGAGGGCACTATAAGACTGTTTAAAGCTGCAGGGTCTTACGATTTGACGGTGTAGGCCAGATGTTCACAATAATCATAACTCTAGAACAATTTAATGTAGTGATTTGGGAAAACAAAAAACAAAACAAAAAAAAAACCTAGATGTTAAAGACACATGACATAAGTCTCAAATCACAAGACAAAACAAACAAACAAATAACAAACAAACAAACAAACAAAAAACTGTTTAAAAGTATAATTATCCAAATTATTACAATAATATAATATAATATAATAAATTATAATATAATATAATTTAATATAATTCACTGTAAAAAATATAAATAAGCTATGACAACATATATTTTTTTTTTCATTTTGTCTCAGTGTTATAATTGTGGATGAGCTCACAAAGAAATATTCCAGACAACCAGGTTGTTAGTTAAGGTAATACATAAATAAGCATAATACAATATAATAATTGCTTCACTGTAAAATATATATATGATCAATAAGTTATGGCAACATAAATGTTTACATTGGCTTAACTCAACGTTTTTATTTAAAGGGATACTCCACTTTTTTTTGGAAATAGGCTCATTTTACCACTCCCCCAGAGTTAAACAGTTAGGTTTTACCGTTTTCAAATCCATTCAGACGATTTTCTGATTTTTAGAAGAATATCAGTAGCCAGACAGTTTCTCGTCTCATTGACTTCCATAGTAAGAAAAAATATACTATGGAAGTCAATGAGACCAGAAACTGTCTGGTTACTGATATTCTTCTAAATATCAGAAAATCGGCTAAATATACATTCAAAAACGGTAAAACCCAACTGATTAACTCTGGGGGAGTGGTAAAATGAGCCTATTTCCCAAAAAAAGTGGAGTATCCCTTTAAGTTATGCAAGATTCAACTTTTTTTTTTGACAGTTTAATGTAAATTAAGTTGAAATGACTTAAACATCCAAATTGATTGTACTTATATCAGTATATTATTATTTTAAATTACTTTTCAGTATTTTGTCATATTTGTGCATAAAATTATCATTATAAGTAGTACTACATTTACCATATAATATATTTATTTTTGTCTCAGTGTTATAATTGTGGATGAGTTCACCAAGAAAAAAATCCATTGACAAAACAGGTTGTAATGGCAATAAATAAATAATATAATAACATTCAGTATTTTGTCATTTTTAGATTTTGACTGTTGAGCTTTCACGAATTGTTTTGTTTGGTGGGACAGTGGGACAGCTCGTCGTCACCCCCTTCTAACAGGACTCAGACAGATAGCCTCTGGTGTGGTGTGTTAGTGTGCGCTACTGTGTGCAAAGAGCCATTCTTTACAAACACAGCTTTAACCAGAGACGCTCTGTCCTCTAATCTTTCCATCTCCAGACTGTACAAACAGATGATAGTTATTACTTTTCATAATTCATAGTCCTTTTCTGTTGAGACAGTAGCCTGCAGTCATGGTTTCCAGAAACATGTGCTTGTGTACAGATGCACTTTCACGCCTGTCTAACAAAATGTCGATTTGGTTACAGCAAATCTATTCTTATTACTGCATTTTTTTGTCTCTCATATTGAATTTGGTTGTCTTCTTATTTGAACATCTGCTTCTGTTTAGAAGTTATTTTATTTCTCGGAATCCATATAGCCCGGTGTGTGCGCTGTGTGCAGTGTCCATTATATTTGTGTATGTATTTTAGGGATTAATCGTTCTTTGTGATGACACAGAGCTTGTTGGCACTGTTAGCTTGTTGATTTTGTTCTCAGTATGGACTAACTCAGTGAGTCAGGCTATGACACACGCAATGGCACCCTTCTCCACCTGGCAATGGCATCACTCCTGGCACTGTTCACATTTGGACAGAGTATTGGCATGGCCAGGAGTTGCTGGTTCAGTTTGTATGGCCCTTTATACACATTTTGCTTTCTGGTTCATCATATTACAGATTACAGTGCAGTAAAACACAATGGCCACTGCAGG